GCCGCGGCCTCTCTGTGGCCTGTCCGAAGCCTGCCTCTTCTCTTCGCGCCCGCAAACGTTCCTGCAGGCCACAGCTTGGCGCAGAAAGCTTTTTCTATGGGCTTCCGAAGGCAACGTTAGACACCCACGGGCCCCGCCCTCAAACCCTTCTCGGCGGCCGGCAGGCCTGCCGCGGCCTCTCTGTGGCCTGTCCGAAGCCTGCCTCTTCTCTTCACCCACGGGCCCCGGCCGCAAACGTTCCTGCAGGCCGCAGCTTAGCCCAGAAAGCTTTTTCTATGGGCTTCCGAAGGCGACGTTAGACACCCACGGGGCCCGCCCTCAAACCCTCCTCGGCAGCCGGCAGGCCTGCCGCGGCCTCTGTAGCATCGCTTCTGTGCCTCGCACGTCTGGCACACGCGGTAGAAAGTGCATTGGGGGCGCGCGTACATTGTTGCAAAGGCGTCTTCCTGCTTCCATGCCTTGCAACTTTTGCATTGCCAGGGCGTGTTGTTGGCTGCGTAATTACGCACGCATTCTCTGCACACACGTGCGTCCGCGTCCCGTTTCCATTGCCCGGCGCTGTACCCGCTTTTCGGTTTACTTTCGTGGCACTCGCAACACACTTCCTCCTCGCGGTGCCGCGCGCGCAACGTTGCCCAGTCGATGCTCTCTCCGCGCCAGGCCTGCAACAGCAAAGCTCTCCCTACGCTGCGTCCTTTCTGATAGGGTGCAGCATCGAAGGGTCTGTATATGTGTAATCCGTGTCTATCTTTCACTCGCGTCACAGCGATGTATGCGGTCAGAGGGTCTCCGCCTTCGCCGATCTGCATGTCCGTGACCGCCCCTTCTGCGTAAGTTTGGCCCTGCGCCGCGTGCGCAGTCGTGGCAAACCCGGGAGCCAACGGAAATTGCCGTCGCACCACCCGCAGCATGGGCCGCTTTCGGCCCTTGTCCAGATGCCACGCTTGCCGTTGGAGCGTCACCGGAAACACGTTGTCCGTGGCTAACCCCTGCACTCGCCACTGGGACTTGGTCTGGAACCGGACAAAGACACAAGTTGGGAGCTGATTCCAAATATGTGTCGTACTCCCTGCTTCTGTGCCCGCTGCTTCATGCCAGCTCCATCCAACAACTGTGCCAGGACATCCCTTCAGTATGCCTCTGCGGCGATCCAAGTGATCGGTTGCCGTGACAGGCATGCCGATGCACAAGGGCAAAACCCCGTACAGCCCGCCGCAGTCCTGATCGTGACGTTGCAGCCATGTCAACTTGTCTTTGCCCAAGTCCGGTTTTTCTTGCAACGCTCGGCTGGAAATTGTGTCTTTTGCAATGGCATATTTGACCTCTTGCCGGTGCTGGCGTGCCCAGTCTAGTGCCCGCAGCTTGTTGCCCAGTCTAGTGCCCGCAGCTAGTCGTGGCACTTCCCCCAAAAAAGTTCCGCGCGGTGGTGGCAATTGCCATAAATCCCCTGCCACTAGTACGTTCAACCCTCCGAAGGGCTGCGCGTGCGCGCTGCCCGGGGCGTACTTGCTCTGCGCTAGATCGCGCACTAGCTCTCGGCATCGTAAATCCATTCTTGCCAGCAGCTCAGCGCTTACCATGCTGATTTCATCAATGATCAGCCACCGCCATTGCACGGCCTTCGCACTCAGGTCGAGGAACTTGCTTCCGCTGATCTTGTCGTCGGACGCGCCTTGCCAATTTAGGCCCATCGCGTGATGAATGGTATCGCCGTCCAGTTCCTTGGCCATCACCGCCTGCAGCGTGACGACGTGGTATTGCGAGCCATGCGTCCACCCGGCGATACCTTCAAAGAGCTCGCGACGGATCAATTTCAACGTGTGCGATTTACCCGTGCCGGGACCCCCGTGCACGACCCAGCGCAGTGGCTGCGGACTGGCGCCGTCTTCTGCCAGCAGCTCTGCTCTGACCTGTTGCGCGACGCGCTGACAGAGTTCGGCCTGTTTGCGGTTGCATTTGCCGTCGGCGACCGTGCTGCTCCACCGGTCGATTGCCGCCAGGGTTTCCTGCAACCGGCCGGGCCGTCGCGTCACGCTCGGCTCTAGTTTCGTCTGCGTTGCGTTCCCTGCGGGGGCCTCCGCCGCGCGATGCAAACCTTTCACGATGCCCTTCGTGTCCATTGTCGCATATGGGTTTCCCACTTCTCCCGGCACACTCTTCGATACGCCGCGGCCACCCCAGTGCTGTTCGGCGCGCTGTAACGCGTCCACGAGCAAACGTCGATGTGTGGACCACTTGCTTTCTTTGTGGTTGTCTTCTTCCACTGCCACATGTGTTTGGCAGGCTACGCCTAACAACTCTTCCGTCACAACCAGATCTTCATTGTCGTCCTCGTTGTGCTGCAGACAGGTCAGACCCACAGCGCTGGCAATCGAACGGGAGCCGGTACGGGACTTGCACGTCCACATTTGCTCCGCGTAGACTGGCTAGCATTGCTGGGTGACAGCAATTCAGCCACTCGCTTTGCCATTCTCCAGGAATTCTTCTGCTTGCC